TTCCAACCTGAATTGTTCTATGATTCTGTTTCTTGTTTTAATCACAGAAAATTGTGTGTGTTTTGGATACAAAGGGCCTGAGACCTCACTCAAGAACCCCAGCTTGTCTTCAGTCAGTACTTTTCCAAAGACTGTAAAATGTTTGTACAGTCCTATGAGCAGCAGGAGCACAAGACTTTATCCCTTATTTCCACTGCATACCTTGAATCATTCAACCATTGGGCTAATCCTTTTGATAGAAGAATTTGCATTCCAGTTTGAAAAAGTTCAATGGAATAAGTGAATGACCCTGTGCTCTATTTTGTGGGTAGCAGGATTAAATTATTCTTCAGAAGACTAAGAACAGCAGCAGTAGATCTAATTACAGATGATGAAAAGAAGTAAAGTAGCAGGGGTTGAACGCACTATTCAGGACTCTAGGTAAAATAAATCAGTGCTCTCCTTATTGTCAGATTAGCATGGCAGAAACTTAAACAAAACCTTGTTGTTCCAAATGCATTATAAAGTGAAAACCAATTTTGTATGTTTATACATGTGCACATGTATGTGCATGTTGTTGCGTATTTCTTTACAAAGGAATGTTTTTTTGCGGTGAGATTGACTGATGGCCCATTCAAATATATCATGCTTTAGGTCTTGAGTGAAAATCTTGAGTGAAAATCATCAATTTAAATGAGGCCAAATTTGTTTTGATCAGAGCAATATAACTTAAAAGAATGCTGGAGCTGAGTAACAATGCCTTAACCAAAGCAAAATTTGTTCAAAATGTGTCTGTTGATTAATTTGCGTGAGGTAAAATGTAATTGCTTTGACTTTGATTTTTCTCTTACAAGAAGAGATTTTATAACTGCTATGGTATATGTTTTATATAAAACTTTACATCAGAACTAGAACCTCTATATTTCAGAGAAATTGTGTTTATTTGGTGGTGGCACTCTAGGTGAAACTCCTAGACACCTGTGAATAAAAAGCTTATTGTTTTTTAAGAAGAGTTTGTTTTTATAAGTATCCTCTGTTGCCCTTGTTTGAGTACCAAGGCGTTTATTTCAGTAGGTTGTGTGTCCCTGAGAGGCTGGTGTTTGCAGGGAGGCTGTGAAAGGTGATACTTCCTCGCAGGTCTGTTCTGCCTCAGCACCCTTGTAGTCAGTTGGTTTTGCGGCTGAAGCTTGGATTTCCTGGTGGGGAAGTGGGGGATTCTGCGCTGAATCGATTTCAGATCCGCAGCTGACGCTCAAGAAAGTCAGTTATCCTCTGTATGGCTGTGCTTCTGCTTTGGAAGGTGGGAGTGAAGTTTCTTCCTCTTCCACACCCTTTATAATAAACAACAAAAAATTTGCTAATAAAGAACAATATATAATACTATATTCTCAAAGTACAAGTATCTTACCAGAAGATACTGGTAATTATAAACAAATGCAGGTTCTCCAGAGGTATGGCTGTCATCTGCAGATGAGTTTGTAAACAAGGCGTGTGCATGTACCTGACTTCTCTGTACTATTCCTTTGTGTGAATCTTAAATTGTGTTAAACATACCTCCCCCCTGAAAGAAATACATTTTTAGTGTAAGGTGCAGACAGCTTATTATATAGGCAAATTCTCCCGTGAGTGTGTGCAGCCTGTGTTGTATAACAACACTGGTGGGTGAATTATTTACATGGTAAGACAAAAAAGTAGCTCTTTTAAGCAAAGTGGGGAAAATGAGTGGCTGTGGGACTCGGCTGGAGTGCTGGGAACTGAGTAGGATTGGAGAACAAACTGTTAAGCTCTTTAAGGCTGGTCCTGGTACTTCTAAAATAACTATAGAAGTAAGAGATGAAAAGATTTAGTAAATAATCTTGTTTGTATTGCACATGCAGAAGTTTTTCTAGTCATCCCTCTTTCCCAGTTCAGAGTTGCTATTTCTTGATTCAGTGGCTGTTCCCTTCTCTTAGTGTTTTTCGGTTGTTGGGTAGATAGATATTTCTAATATTTACCCGAACAGTCTTTATGACAGGAAAACCCTACAAACAGTCCTCCACGTAGATCATAGAAGCCCTTGATGTTTGGTGCCAAAATGAGTTACAGACTGCAAAAGCAATGTGGTAGCTCAGTAATGCTGTCTCATGTCTCTTGTAACAGACTTGACGTGGGTGCCCATAGTTTCACTGATGCTTTATATAATTCCTTTTCATGCAGTAGTGCTTGTTGTATCTGTGGTCACTGAAAAGTTTTCTGCAGACCACCTGGCACAGAGATACTCTTTAGTTTACCTTTGCTTGACTGAATACTTAAAGTCTTTTAATTCTGACTGCACAGTCATCTAAAACTTCAGTGCATAAAGCATTCCTACTTCTCATTCTCTTGCTAATATTTTTTTTTCCTGAGAAGTTATTAAGATGATATATTTGGCAGAACCTACAAGTGTGTTTAGGGTGGGCCTTCTGCTTAAATGAACCAGCTAGTTTATATAGCTGCTGCTTTTTACCTTTCACCTTCAAACAGCAAGATCGGGCAGGCATTGACAACCTTTTGTAAGTACACAGTGATATCAGAAAATTATCTTTCCATTTATCTTTTTCAAAGAATTTGTCTTTTGTGTTCACAAAAAGTCCTTTGTGGAAGGAGATCTGTATTTCTTAGCAGCTTTTCAGCCTTTCTGAAACTTCTGTCTAGGTACTTGCGTGGAGTGTGCACCATCTTCTGCCAAGTTAATTGAGTTATATGCAAGAGGACCAAAATTCAGTTCTAAGTGTCCTGAACAATGTGCCCTTTCCAAATGGGTGTGTGTCTCTGCGCAGTGCTATTGTCATTGCAGATTACTGAATGCAAATGCAATTTGTTTATCAGACTGAACAAATACCCTGTGTTGTTCCTGAGCTGCAGGTGAGGGAGCGTTATCTGGTTGTGTTCAGTGTTGTGCAAACAGTTGGGGCACTTCTTTGCACTAGGTAAGCTTGGGTCAGTGGAAGGGCTGGAGGCTTGACTGTAGAAGTTTACAGGGTTGTTTGCTCTGTGTTTGCATTCCCAGAAAGGCAATATTTTAGTCTTGGAATTAAAAAATAGTGATGTTAGACTTTAGGTTCCATTTCCAGCCCTTGCAGTCCTCCTCTCTTCTTGCTCTCTCCCTGCCTATGCGTATCTTGATGAGTTGTTCTTTTTTTGTCTCTCATATTTATCCCTTTTGTTTCTTTTTTACTGCTCCCTATTGTTCTTTTTCCAAGATAGTGATCTCCCCTCTCATTCCATAGTTTCGTAGCTTTAAAGGTTGGAGAAGACTACTGAAATTAATCTACCTTCTGTATAATGTATTCTGGAATTTTACTTTATTCAGTTTGCTTCTTACATATTTTAGGAAGCAGTTATGTTTAAGGACTCCAAGTAGAAGAGGAATCATCCTTTCAGCTTTTGGAGCTGCTTGGCATGCTTTTTATGCCTGTGAGATGGGTGCTTTTCCAGATTGGGGGAATTTGAATGCTCTGTTTACATGTACTCAAGATACTGTAGGTGTTTCATTATGTTTGAATGAGATCTCTTTATGTCAGCACTGCTTGGTGCAGAATGTCAGCTATTGCAGCCTGTTTTTTTCTCTCTTTGGCTTTGTTCCAGATATATGTCCTCTTTGTAACTTGTGTTTTCTTTTGTTGCTAACAGTTTTAAGAACTTTGATTTGGAAGACTCTCAGAAGTGTGCAGTAGACTGGTTGATGATTGGTCCCTCTTCCAAGAGGGAGGAATACAAAGTGTGTGGATCTTCCATACCCCCGTCTTTCATCTCTGCCAGAGACCATGTCTGGATATTTTTTCACTCAGATGCATCAAGCTCAGGACAGGCTCAGGGATTTCGCCTTTCTTATATCAGAGGTAAAACCTTACAGTTTTGTTAGCTTCACTTATACTCTTTTCTGGCAAAATTTGAAGATCGTAGTATTTTTTGTTGACGGGAGTCTTGGGCCGATCTTGATGGCTGTAAGGAATTAGCATGGTAACACTAATATTATTTCCACTTGGCTGCTGGAGGGTATTCCTGAAGTGTACTGGGCCTGACCGATTGTTCTGTCATGTGAAGGACAGTAGACATTAAAAGGTGACATCAGATGATTCAAAAAATTTTGATACTGACTTTTTTTCCCTTTGCCATCTTTCACAGGCAAGATAGGTCAGGCTGAATGCCAGTCAGATGAATTCCGTTGTGCAAATGGAAAGTGTATTCCCAGCACTTGGAAGTGTAATTCCATGGATGAATGTGGCGATAACTCGGATGAGAGAAACTGCACTGTCCCTTCCACAGAGCCTCCGTCCAGCATCTGTCCCTCAGGAATGTTTCAGTGCAGTGCGGCCCACTCCACCAAGTGCTTGATGAATGAGCTGAGATGTAATTCAGTTAAGGACTGCAGTGATGGTTCAGATGAAGACAATTGTCCTGATCTTTCCTGCGGCAAAAGGCTGGGTAATTTTTATGGATCTTTTGCTTCCCCGGACTTATTCCGTGCTGATCACAGCAGATCAGACCTTCGTTGCACGTGGTACGTGGACACACAAGATAATCGACATGTTCTGTTGCAGCTTGATTTGCAGTTAGGCTACAACGACTACGTGAAGGTGTATGATGGCATCGAAGAGAGAGGTGATAAATTAATGCAAACGTTTTCGTACCACAACAATAGGCATTCAGTGAGCGTGGAGTCATCAAAAGGCCAGCTCACTGTCTCGTATCATGCCCGCTCCAAGAGCACTGGCCATGGGTTCAATGCTACCTATCAGGTGAAGGGCTATTGCCTTCCTTGGGAACATCCTTGTGGAAGCGATGAGGAGTGTTTCACAGATAAGCAGCGTTGCGATGGCTGGTGGCACTGTCCAAATGGCAAGGACGAGGAGAACTGTCCGGCTTGCCAGAAGAATGAATACCCATGTGAGGGAAATAGTGGGCTTTGTTACTCGATACTTGACCGCTGTAATAACCAAAAGAACTGCCCAGATGGCTCGGATGAAAAGAACTGCTTTACTTGTCAGCCAGGAAACTTCCATTGTGGTACAAATCTGTGCATCTTTGAGACTTGGCGCTGTGACGGCCAAGAAGACTGCCAGGATGGAAGCGACGAACATAACTGCCTGGTGATCGTTCCCAGGAAGGTCATCACAGCTGCTCTGATTGGGAGTCTCGTGTGTGGCTTGCTCCTGGTGATAGCACTGGGGTGTGCATTTAAATTATATTCTCTGAGGACCAGGGAATACAGGTGAGTGTCTTGCTTTTATGATGCTTTAGGAGCTGCAGTGTTTTTTTCCTTTTAGTCTAAAGGAAAAAAAAAAGTCGATTGTTAGCCAGAGAACTGGCAAAACACTGCACAATCAATCCAAAGAACTGATGACAATTAAACAGCAGTCACTGCAGTAGGCGTAAAGAAGAGATTTTTGGAAGTAGTGAGGGGAATGTCAGCTCTTCTGCGATCCAAGAGAAATAAGTATTTATTTGTGCAGCCTGGCAGAACCGTATCTAACTTAAAACTGTTCTGAGCACTTTCCTCTCTCACCTCTTCCTTCTGCAACAAACCCCTTGCACTGCCAAAAACTGAACAGACAACTCTTACAGTGAAGTCTTTGGTGAACCTGAACTGTGTAACTCTTCTCCCTGCCCTCCCTAAATACTGTGGTTGTCAGTTCTACTAGAAGTGATGTCCTGCAGTGGGGAGCTTGTTCTGAGCAGGAGGTTTTAGTGTCCACTGTTCCCACTGATATGAGCTCTACCTCCTTGACCCAGTCCTATATGCTTTGCTCTGTGGATGGTGTGTGTCGTGTGTGTGTGTGTGTGTAGTTTTACCCTTTGGGAGGGAGTCTAAGGATTTTCTGAAGCCCGTCTCTTGTCATATGCCCCAGCTCTGTGCCGCTCTGCTGACACTATTCGTGTTTTCACCGCAGTGTGCTTTACATTTTCTCCTGATCAAATCTGCATGATTAAGGAGCTGGAAACCAGCCCCTGTGCTATGTTAGGAACCACGGTGCCTCAGTTCTGGCAGGACAGCCAGAGCTCTCTGCAGCTGCAAGCTTTCCCTGTTGTGTGATTGTTTCCAGTTCTTAATGTTGTATTTTCCAAAAATAACCTTTGGGCCCTTGCTGAACAAGTTACCACTGTTACTGGTGTAAGCTCGCCTATTGGAAAAAACTTCAATTGCCACAGAGTCTGACCTGGGACCGCACCAAAGAGTTGGCTGTTTTGATTCACTGATGCTTATACCCTGTGCTCTTACTCCTTTTGTTTATTTTAGCATCCTGAGCCTAGCTGAAGGTTTGTGGTTTTGATGAAGCCCTCTGCAGTGCAGTGGAGGGGGCAGCACAAACTCACTGTTATTTCTCTTCCGTGTTTCCTTCCTGGTTCTCTTTCCAGAGCGTTTGAGACCCAAATGACACGTCTCGAGGCAGAGTTTGTGCGACGGGAAGCTCCGCCTTCCTACGGGCAGCTAATTGCCCAAGGACTTATCCCCCCAGTTGAAGACTTCCCCGTGTACAATGCATCACAGGTATGGAGACACAAGTGCCAATGAACCTATCAGGAGCCTAACTACTATAAATTAGATAGAATCTATCTGGAACTGTATTCTTTCAGTAGATGTGCTGATTGTGTTGAAGTGGTATAAAAATGTCTATGTTTTACTTGGAGCTGAAGAGCCAGAGTTATGGTTTGACACTGAAAGGGGATAGATTTAGATTAGATTTTGGGAAGAAATTCTTTTCTGTGAAGGTGGTGAGGCACTGGAACTCCTGGGGAAGTTGTGAATGCCCCATCCCTAGAAGTGCTCCAGGCCAGCTTGGATGAGGCTTTGATCTAGTGGGAGGTGTCCCTGCTCATGGCAGGGGAGTTGGAACTAGATGATCTTTAAGGTGCCTTCCAACTCAAACCATTTTATAATTCTATGATCTTGGTGCTGTGGGTGGTTTTGAACACATCAAATGTATTTGCTAGGGAACAGCAGTAAGATAAGCACATGCTGTTTTTCTGTCCATCAAGGTAGAGTGAACAGAGGCAGGAAGAAAGGTCAGAAAGTAAATAGAGAAAAGGATTTTGAAGCTGAAAATGTGAACGTGCCTGAGGCGATGAGAAAGCATGGTCTCTAGCAGAATTTTTGGGAAATTCTGGGATTATTTTTCATTTACCAATACATAACACTGGGAAGCCATTACGTCATTCTTCTATTTCATTGCTGAGTTCTCAAGTATCTCGTGTGCCCTGTCAAAAGTTATCCATAATACAGTTCCTAGTGTGATGAAGCACTTAAGAGTTTGTTACTTGAGCAGAGTAGTTTGCCGTGGCCTTTCTTCTCTGCTGTTGTTATCAGCTTTTGAGGATCCTCTGCTGTTGCTGATGGTAGAGAGGACTCAGTGGTCTGCAGTCTGTTTCTTTAGTGGTGATATGGTTGCCCTAATGGAGCATCTTCCTGGGCAGACAAGTAGAGTTTAAGCTCACAAAGGAAATATGAGAGACTCCTGGTGTAGGCAGAGCTGTCTTTGATATTCTTAAATAGTTCATTAGAGAACATGCATTTAATGAGGAAGTGTAGGGGTCAAGTCTGAGAATTCTGTTAAGGTGGAGATATTAGTGGAAAGAACAGCATTTAGGAGAACGCTTTTGAGTACATGTGAAATTGTAGTTTCTTATATCTGTGTTACAGGCTTCTGTGCTGCAGAACATACGAACAGCCATGAGGAGGCAGATGAGGCGACACTCATCAAGACGGAGCTCATCTCGGCGGCGCTTGGGCAGGCTCTGGAACAGACTCTTCCACCGACCTCGGGTGAGAGGACAGATCCCCCTCCTGACACCTGCCCGCACTTCACAGACTACACTGGGTGATGGAATCATCAACCGTGCTGATGGGACTATTCGGAGTCCTCCGCCTTCCCCCGAAGGACCTAGTTTAGAGACAAATGCCAATGGCCAGACCAGGGGCCTACAAGAAGCTGGATGTAGCAGCTTGCAGCCAGAGACTGAAATCACAGAGCCATCGCCTTCAAATGTCTTACCAAATACTTGCACAGCAGCACACGCAGAACCTGAGACTGGACGTGCTGATAAATCTTTAGGTGCTGAGACCTCTGGCAATGAGCTTAAGCAGTCCAGTAAAGTGGATTCAGGAAAGACTTTCAGAGATCCTGTATCTGAAAGCGTTACACAAACAATCCGTGGAGGGTCAGCGTCGAGGAGGACTGTCCCAGAGGACAGTAGAAGTCATCCGCTGAGTGAAGAGCCATGTAGGTTACCCTTAAAAAAGTGGGAGTCTGCTTATCCAGACACCCCTAAGCATGTTCATATCCAGGTGGATGGACAAGACCGATGCTGCCCTAACTCATGCCGGGAGGAGCCTTTGGGTATTCATGCGGCTTGTTGCCATTCTGTGGAAGTGCCAATGTTAGAGTCCTCTACTCCCCTCTCCGATATCAATACCAGTGATGACGAATCTTTACTTGTTTGCTAATAAAAATTTTTGGTTTGGTCCTGTAAATTTTGTAACTTCATTGTTTATATGACAGTGCGCTCTGACGTTAGGTGGTATGTCTGTGCTCTTTCTTTTGGCTCTCAAAACCAGTGTGCTTTGATCCCACAGGGAGTACAGTACAAGACTAAACTGGACAAGTTTTTGTCTTCGTTGCTATTCCTCATACTCCAGTGGGGCAAAAGTAGGCCAGTATGCGGTATCAGGGCCTGGAAGGGCAAGAATGTGTTGCTGCAGTTTGGAGGCATCTCCATGCTCTGGTATTGCTTCTGTGCATTTATTCACTGCATTCAGGGAATTAGTGTTTCTTTGCTTTTCAGGTGGTCTTGCTGAAACTAGAGTGAGCTCTGTTGAAACCTGGGGCAGACACCAGTCAGTGTGTAACTGTGAGGCTCAAACTAGAAAATACTGATGTCTTTTTAGATGTCATAATGTAATTAAAGTTTAATAATTTTAATTACAAGTACTTAGAAGGAAATAAAATCCTTTGTACCTTCCTCTTTATAGAAATTGCTCACTTCCTTTGCTTAGTTCAAAAATGTTTTGATGGCCGTATGTACTTTGAAGCATCCACTAAAACCAAAGTTTCGGTATAGAATACCCAGAACGATACCAGGTGTCTTATCTGCTACAGCTTTGTAGTGAGAGATGAGCAGTGTTGGGGTAAGAGAGTGCATTGAACCCCAGTTGCAGCAATATTTCTTCTTTGCGTTGTCATGTTACATTCTCTTCGTAGCGATGTTGTGAAGGTTCAAGAATTGTTTGCTTTCTCCCTACCCTCTTTTTCCCCTTCTGTTTTCAGGGACCTTTGTGATTATACAACTTTTAGTGCGCCCTGAAGGATACCGAGGCTTCACAGCTCCCGTTGGCTGAAGTAGGAAGCATTGAGCACTTGCTAACTGTCAGGATCAGGCTTCTGTTTTATTTTGAAATAAAATCTGCTGTACAAGTTTACTTGTAAATCTGCTACCTAGGTGCAGATGTATAAATCAGGGGGGTTATTTTTCATTTTTAGAGGTTGCTGTTTTGCTTGCTTTTTCCATTTAAGAACTGAAATAGGTCAGTGCCATTTTCAAAGCTGACACTGTGTGGATTGTACAACACTTAAATGTAAACTGGTGCCTTTTGGGGTTTTAGAGTGTAATTAAAAGCAAGTAAGTTACTTGCCTGGAGAAAGGGTGACGTTGCTTACCCAGGGGTGCCTCGGGGCAGAATGACAGAATGTTACTGCCTGGGCACCGGGCCCTGTGGCCGTGGCTGGTGCCTTGGCTGGGCTCCCCGGTGCCCAGACGAGAGCTCTGCCTCAGTTCCCCTGCGATGCGGTGACAAACTCAAATGCTTTGTGTAGGAATTAACGAGGAAGTTGGTGCTGCTGCTCTGTAAATACTCATGTTCCGAAACCTGTTTGTTGCCGTAGGAATCGCAGTTGCCCAGAGTTACTAACCGAACTGGTAAAGGTGAGGTGGGCTTTGGCATCTGTGGACCCAGGCTCTGCTGTCCACAGGACCCTCCTGGCTGTGAAGCAAACAGGCTTTTGCAGTAGACAGTTAAGTTTACAGCAAAGCATCAGAGATGTTTTTTCTTTAAACAGGCTACATTTTGCCCTGGGACCTTTACTTGGCCTCCCTTTGGGAGTGCCTTAAAAAGAACAAGGAATAAAAATTTGGCTTTACTGAAATTTAACATGGAAAATTTTGGGTGTTTATTGTCTTTTTTTGGGGGGGTGTTGCAAATTGGTTTCATGCTGTGTGTTCCAGATGCAGAAAATTCAAACTCCTTAAGGGCATTAATAGCAGGAAGGGCTTATGGCAAAACACGTAACAAGTAAAAGTTGTAGTTACATAAAACTAATGCCACTTGTTCATCTTTTCTAAGTGGTTTCGTGATCAACATTAATTTAATCAAAGAAAATGTAGTTTGGGAAGAGATCTTGCTTTCACATAATTTGTAAACATTCTAGGTACATTCCACCTTTTGCAAGGCCATATGCTGTAGTCATTACACTGCCAGGGTTGTTTGCATCTAAAGCTACAGGCTTTAGTGTCTTATTTTTTTTTCTTGTCCAAAGGCAATTTTAAATACATAGAACTGTGTATGTAAAGTAGTTAATTGTAATTAGGAGGAAGATTATATTTCAAGGTTCATATTGTGCAGGTGTGAAGGACCTTAGAAATAAGTGTATATTTATTTCTGTTACAGAAATGTATTTCTATAAGAAAAATATGTTGATCATACTATGCCTTAAACTGTCACCAGTGTAAGGCTCTTGAAGTTGAAATACGTACTTCAGAATACTGCTATATTTTGGGAACAACCCTGAACAGCTAACACTGTTTTATTTTAAGATGTATAACTTCACGTAGTTTCTTACATATACCATACATATTTTGTGTACTGATTTGTTTGGTAACTCGGTGGAAATTCTATTGAGAAGGTTTTATTTTTAGAAATGTAAAAAAATCTTGGTTAATGAAGGTTCGACGCTTGAAATGTACAGAAATGCTCACAGCCCTCACTGCTGGAATTTAGTCTTGCATGAATGAGAGATACTCTGTAAGCACCTGACTTCTGTAGTCTGCAAAGCAGTATTCTCTCCCATCTGCCCAAGCTCATTCCTTGGAGGGAAGAGTCACAAATTTACTGTTAATTTTGCATAAAAAATCTCTGTGTTTGCACTGTGAGCACAAACAAGTGTGTTGCAGTGTCCTGGAATGTCGATGCTGAAGAAACCTCAAAGTCTGCCTTAGTGTGTGCCTGTCCCGCCTCCAGCTCTTGGAGGCATTCAGCAGTGAACCAGCTGTCCGCAGAGACGCTGTTCTGTTTCATGTGCGCTGCCTCCTTGTATTCACATCATCTTAAAATTACAAAAAAAAAAAAAAGAGACAAAAACCTGCTCCTAGACCTGTGAACAGGAAGATGTCATTGTAACATTTCTTTGCTCAGTGAAAGATACCACACTTTAATGACTATACAATCTGAAGTTAAGCAGCTAAGAATCTTGTTAAAATTTTTGTTATTTAATAATGCTTTTCTGCACTCTTTAAAGACTTTTGTAGATGGAAGGGAAGCAAACTAAGATAGTTGGTGGTTTTTTGACTTAAAAAAGAAAAAAAAGATAGAGAGCTCCCCTGTCCAAGCAATCAAACAAAAACCTTCCTAAAAATATCTCTAAATAGAGAGGAATGCCTGCACTGATTTAAGAAGAATGGAAGATCATAGGCAGCATTAAGGGAAAAGTGGCTCCCTTCTATTTTCTCTTACTGCTCTTAAAACATGGGGAATATTTCTGTTTGAAATTCTAACACCTTCTAGCTTATGTATGACTCTGTAACACCCTTTAAATGTACTTGTTTTCTTTTTCTGTTCTCTGCTTTTAAAAATTTTTTATTTACATGCTGTATATATTCATTTAGGTACAACATTTTACCATAACGTGTGTACAGGTGTATGGTTCAGGTGTGACGTCGTGGCTGCCAGTGTCTGCTGGTTCCTGGACGATGACACTGAGCGAGTAAGATGCTGGGCATCATCATACTTTGCTCTTGCTTTGGATCTCTTAATTTTTAATAAAATTGCACATGCCCGGAGTCTGTGCGTTTCTGACTGTCACTGACGCCAAAGATCGAGGGTGCCGAAGTTGTACTCCCACAGCGCTTGTTTGACTCGGACTCTGCATGTGCCAACCCGTGGCTCGGTGTGTTGACATGAATATGAATGGTGTTGGGGTTCATTTATTTTATTTATTTATTTGGTTTAGTTTTTAGTTTGGGTGTGGGTTTTTATTACCTACTTTTTCTGGTAGCTGAAGCTGTGGAGGTGCATCACTTTTTTAGATACTACATGTGAAATCTTAGCACAAGCAGTTTACTGTTGTATACAGCTCCCTTTAAAATGTATGTATGCATATACCTGAAATAACAAAAAGAAACCCTGAGGTGTATGGCTCTTTAGGTGGTTAAAAAAAGAAAATTTCTGAAGTACAGCCTCTCAGTCCCATCACTAAAGGCAATGCTTGCTTTCCTGATGTTTCCCTTTCCCATTCTGTGCTTTGGCTCCGTTCTCTTGTTTTTCAGAATATGGAGGCTGAGCTGTTTTGTGTTGACAGAGATTTATTCTACAGACTTGGAAATCTTTGTCTGTGTTGAAGAGAATTAACCAGACTTTATGATTGTCCTGGTTTATCCATAGCCGTGGAGGATGGGAGGACGCAGCTTGATGCAGAGGGATAATGCATCCTTGCCTCGTAGAGAGAGCGTTTGCTTTGCTTTGTCATGATAGCTGATTCAGCTGTGGCCGTAGTGGCACAAGTAATACTACAAAAAAATACCCTGGTGTAAGCGAGGCAGCACACCAAATGGAAATGGGGTAATGAATGATGCCTGTGCACTTGCAGCAGAGTTTGTAGGCAGCATCTCCAGTGCAATAGAGAGGTCTTATGACAAACCAAGGAGGTACGCTGAAAAGCTGGGAGGGAGTTGCATACTTTTTAAACAGACCTTCCTCTAAGAGGTAGAAGAACTGCTTTTATTTATTTAGGAGGTTTGATCTTTGCAGGAAAGTGTGCTTTAATCTCCCAGGCAGGTGTTGGGATTTAAAATCCAGTACAAGTGGCTGGCTGTGCATGACCTGGACTCACAGGTAGCAAACCTCGTCTGTCTCCCGTCAGTCAGTTACACTAGCCAGCTCTGCTCACTAAGCCCTTCCTCCCTTCTCACGTTCTGGCTCTTGTGTTCTTGGCTACAGGGCTTAAGTGGTGACGTGAGGCTGATGTGAGGGGTAGCGGTTTACATACTATTCCCTCTTCATTCTCTGTTTCCTGCCTTGTGATGCCATCTAGGTCTTCCTTCTATTGCTATTTCTTGCCTTAAGGCTTTAAGGCATTTATTTTTGGCCTGTCAGTACCTCTTGGCCACTTTCTAGTCCTTTTCCTTGGGTTTTCCTTTTTATGCCCAAGCGCAGAAGTTTCTCCTCAGTAAAAAGTGTCAAGGAGCAAGGAGAGGAGGTTTAAA